CCAAACATTCTTCAGATTGCTCGACCGGCAACTGAGGAAGGGAAAAGTTGTTGAACCAAGAGGAGGTCGACCAGATCTGACTCGCTGTAGAGCCGACCCTCTCTAACACCTCATGGACAGGGTCAGATAGGGAGATCCGATCGACCTGACTCGTAATATGGTCGGTGTGAGTCTCACCAGCATTCGAAGGTTCCCCCCGAACGGAGTCGAAATGCTGGGAAAATTGGTGCAGTTGATCAGATCCGAACCGCTCGTCGATCAGCATGGCCTCTAATTGGTCTTGGTGGACCTGCTGTATTGGCTGAGGCTCTGGAAGCGGTTCAGAAGGGGCAGCATCCTGAGCGGGAATAATGGTGGGAGTAGGTTGGGGGTTCTTCCGGGATTTTTTCCGCTTGCCGGCCCCACCAGCTGCGATGACTCTGCTATCATCCATAGGAAGATCTGGGTTTGGTGCTGAAAAAGGACAAAGAACAATGTTAGTATCGAGCGGCCCTAGCGTGTGAGAAACTAGAAAAAAGAACAAAAGAACGTTTCTCGCACGGGAAGGACCGCCCGGACCAAGGCACTTGGTTTATCAAAACAAGTAAACCCAAGAGAACGGGCAGTACCTATCCCGGCTGTTACAAGTCGTTCGGGGGTCAGATAATTCATGATGTCCATGCATTTATCCTTCTCCACAGCAAGCACGTCCTTGTAGATTTCTTCAGTGAGGACAGGATCAGGGGTTTTGCGGGGAAAGGCATTCCATTTGCGGGGAATTAGACCGTCCGGGATAGATACGAAGAAAAATCGGTCTTTCCGCCCTTTGATCGAAGTTGGGTTTCCTTTGAACAGGATGTGTCCCGTTCGGGCACTAGTGGCCAGATAGCCATTGGTTTGTTGGGGGGGCTACTTTGAAGAATTGGTGGAAGAGTTCTAGGGTTGGTCGGGCGCCGACATCTTTGCAACGACAAATGAAACCCGCCATTGCTCGATAAGAGTTCGGCATAATCTGAGCCGGTACAACTTCGTAGAAATTGAAAAAAGAAATGAAAAAGGGGTGTAGCGGAAATCTAAGGTCGGCCCTAATTGAGTCAAAGTGGACTATGGTCATTCCGGGCCTATGACGCATTGGGTGAAGCCCGGCTTGCAAACGGAAATCCACCAGGTCAGGGATAAGGGCCGGAATTTCGGCCCTATTGTGAGAGGTCGATTTTTGCCTCCTCTCCCTAATCAATTTTAGGTCAAGAGTATGGCGAGGAACATCGTTGGGACGTCCGGCCGCCATGGAGGCTATTTCGTCCTCGGATTTGGTGTCATCAGAGTCATCACTGGAGGAAGAAGAAGTGCTAGGGAGGTCCTCCGCCTCAGCCCTGGTATTCGTCGCCGTCTCAGTAGAAACACCGGTAAACGGAACTGGGATGGCATCTACAATGGCGGTGTCACGGTCATCTCCATGAGAGGCCATCTCCGAATCAGAGGAATGCTCTTTGGGGCTCATCTCGATCGAAGCCAGAAATGAAGATAGGGAATCCAAAGTTGGGAAATTACATGAGCAAAGGAAGCAGGGGGAAATTTGCAGAGGAAACAACGAAGGCCAAGGAATTGCAGAGTCGAAACCCGGAATTGAGAAGTTAAGGGCTAATTTATAGCCTTGAAACCGCCGTGTCGAGAACCAATCAGAGAGCGACACATCACTAGGAGCATTTAAGCTAAACACGCATCTAATGAAAAGACTAAACGACGGTTATCATGATGAATATGGGGAAATGAAGCGGCAGCCGTCAAATCGCAGCATGGGGAACTGATTACTTCTGTACCCCGACCGCCATTCGGGGTATTATGACATTGGTATACTTCCTAATGCACTCACTTCGTTCGAGACATCGGAAGTGGGGGACTTGTGTTGGGATATTGACCTAGAGGCCCAATACCCAGATCGGGAAGGCCCAAGACATCCGGCCCAAGTAACAGGCCCATCACTCTACGATGAAAAGATCCAGTAAGGAGACATACCGAACGGAGTTCGGCCCAAATAAAGATTGGCCCAGTAAGAAGACATACCGAACGAGGTTCAGGCTATATGTCATACTTGGGCCAATTTGACAGCATCTTCAGTGCAGCCCAACATCCCGTTCGAGCAACGGCCAACCAGCAAGTGGCCAGGTGCAATTAATGCCAGACTATGACATCAGCAAGTGGAAGCATGGATGACCAAGTCGGTGGAACAACGGCCAATCAGCAAGAGGCAACCCATGCTCTTCATTAGTATAAATAGAAGGTTTCAAGTCAATGTAAGGGTTAGCATTTCAATACTCAAGCTCTAGAATATCATCATTTGCTCTTATTTCTTGTATTAAAGCATAGTTTCCGACTTACCGATCGGGAAATTCCTTGTAATCAGATTGATTAATTAATACAAGTGGGCTTTCGAGTTTTAGTTAGTTCAGATCTTATATTTTCTTATACGCTTTGATTCTGGGCCATTCCTGATATATCCAAAGTTCGTGTTGGGCTTTCGGATCTACGGGACTTACCCTCAACAAATATATAATTAGAGATCAAGGACAAATTATGCTTAATTTACTAACCTACAAACTCATCTTGACCATCCGATGAGTTGATCTAGAGGCTATAAAGGTAAGGTGACATTTTTGTAATAAAAGCCAACTTTTTTAGGATGCAACTCTTTGAATGTTAATATGCAACTGCTATTTTATGGCTTGAATAATATGCAACTCTTTGAAATTTAATACGAAATGCAAATAATGTTAATATACATCGTACAAACGTTTGCACGATAAGCAAATTTTGTACATGATCCCTCCCACGTGTGTGTGTAACATTTTATCAGCTAGAGATTTTTAGGTCCAAATTTTTCTTGAATAAATCCAAGTGCTAAAATTACAATTTTAAAATACTTTTTTTTACATATCTGAGATACTTTTTCCAAAAATAGATTTGGATTAACAAAAAAAAATAAACTCCAAATGTGCAAAAAGGAATTCTTACACCGGAATGTTTGACTTTTTAAATAATAATTATTTGCAAAAAAAGAATTTGATAAATATTTGATGTATAATAATAAGAGTAAGGATTTAAAGTTTTAAATTTGTTTCAAATTGAACTCAAGTGTGCATTTTTAATACTTATAAAAGAACTGATTCACATTTTTATTCAATTACATCGGAATGTTTGACTTTTTAAATCATAATTGTGGGTAAAATAAAATTGTCACATAAATGATGTGCAATAAAAAATTAAAGATTTATGCATTTAATTTTTAAAAAATGTATTGATTGAATATATTGATAGAGCTGGGTTGCACATAATTTACGTAATTTACGTATTTCACATTTTTAGGGTGTAACACTTCGGTTCATCGCCTATGTCTTTCTACTATGCACATCATTCTTCTGCCTTCGCACGGGCTTAGTTTTTTAGTGTTAAATTGAGTAAATCCATTAGATTAACACGTTAACATGGAATGTTGGCTACTAGAATGCCAATAGGTCGATTTCCTGAAGGTCAACGTCAACCCTCAGTCACTTGATCGACTTCCCCTTGTTCAATAGGTCGACGCCCCTCCGTAGGTCGACCTCCGAAGGTCAATTTTTCCTTTTTGGTCGATTTCTTGAAGGTAGGTGCCATTTCAACACCCCACCCCGTAGGATCTGGGGTAGTTACTCCAGACTTTTAGTACTGTCCTCACACGTCCTTACCGCACACTTTGTCCTCACTCGCGCACGCCCTGAGAAACTACCAATGGGATCACTCATCTCAAGACTACTCTCGTGCAAGCATGCTTAACTTAGAGTTTTTAGGTGATAAGCTTTCTTAAAAGAAGATGCACCTTGTTGGTATGATACTACTACTACTAATCCTTTCAAATTAATCTCAAGTGTTACAAGCTTACAACCATAACCTTGGTCCATTACACCTTCTTACTCAGTATTCTGATATCCAACTCAACCATATTAACATGTTTATTTAGCAAGTGTACTCAATTAACACTAAATATCTGAGTTTATGTTCTTATCAATGTCAAATGCAATATAGCGTACTATTTACTCCACTTCGTACAAATTGATGTACTCAATTGACCATTTCTTCTTTCAAAACATTGCACAGTAGAACCAATTAGACAAATAATGAACCGATTTTTAAAAAGGAAAAAGAAAACAAAATAATCATTACCTTCCCCATTCAATCTAACAAAAATACATGCTCTACTCCATTTTCTATAGCAGCACAAATAATAATTAAATGAGAAAATTGTCCTAGATATGACTAAAACTCGTCCACTTTCACAATCTATGAGCTTATTATTTTTTTCCCAAAATAATATTTAAATTCATATTATTTATTTATTTACTTAATTAATAAATAAATAAAATTTATGGACTAATATGCCCTAAGA